CCCCCCCCCCCCCCCGCCGGGGGCTGCGATCCCCCCGTGCCCCAAATCCCCCCCGCGGGGCCGGACCCCTCCCGGCGCTCAGTGCTCGGGGTCGGTGCGTAGCTGAGGGGCGGGGGCAGACCCCAGTGCCGTGCAACCCCTCCTCTCCTCCCCTCCCTCCTCCCGTGGAGGTCCCGGTGCGGTGCAGTGTTGCAGTGCGGGGCACTGCGGCGGGAGCTCCTGGGCTGCGGGACGCGGGGAGCAACGCAGCGCGGGGGGGGAAACGGCCAGAACCCCCCCTCAGCCCCGGCCCCACCGAGCTGCCCCGCACGCCGTGCCGGTACCGGGATGTCCCGCACTTACCGTGGCTCCGCGCACCCGTGCGGTGCCGGCCCGCGGCGGGGGGATGCGGGGGAGGGGGGGGCGACCGCAGGAGAGCTCCGGTGCTGCCGGTGCTGTCGGTGCGGCTCCGCGCAGGGGGCGGCACCGGGAGCGCGGCCCGGCCCTGCCCGGCTCCCGGCGCTGCGCAGGGCCGCCGGCTGCCAAGGTCACCGGTACCGGCACCGGCACCCCGGGTACCGCCAGGCGGGCGGGGAAACGGCGGGGCGGCCCCGGGGGGGGGGGGGGGCCCGGCGGGGGGTCCCCCCCCCCCCCCCCCCCCCCCCTCCCGGTTCGTCCCTTAGAGCAAGAGCAGCACCGGGGAGGGGGCACGGATGGGGACCCTCAAATCGGCCGGGACGTGAACGGGCACCCGCGGGGCATCCCTAGACGTGTGCACATCCCTGCACGTCTGCACAGCTCTACACACGCGTGCACAGCCCCGCACACACGCATGCACCCCTCTGAGCCCCGCGTGCATCCCCGCTCCACGCAGAGTCCCCCCTCCCTGCCGCATCCCCAGCACCAAGGGCAAGGCAAGGGCAGCACGGGCCGGGGGGGCGGGGGGTTTTACGGGAGGGGGGACATGGGCAGCTGCTCTGGGGACACAGTGCACACACACCGGTGTTACAAAGCCGGACCCGAACTCCTTTATTTTGTAAACAGTTTTTCTTTTTTGTGGCGTGCTCCATGCTTCTGCATCCCAACAACCAGAACACGGGTGGGACGGGGGGAGGGGAGGGGGTCCTTCACTCCCACCACTAAGACCCCCCCCAGGCCACCCAGCCGCACACAGAGCCCGCCGAGTCCCCCCAGCGCATCCAGGACCACGGGGGGGCACCGGAGGGACCGGGGCATCGCACGGGACCCCTCTACAGCAGCATCCCATGGAGGGGCTGGCAGCTCACTGGTGTTTCTTGCCCCCCTGCAGGCTGCTGGAGGTGATGGGCAGGAAGAACGCGGGGCTGTGAAGGCAGCGGAGGGCGAGGAGCTGCGGCCCCAACGCATAAAGGACGTTTGTGATGAAGAAACTCCACCAGACGTCTTCGGGGGTCTGGTATGGGAAGGGCGTGCGGGAGTGCAGTGAGGAGCCCAGATGGGAGAACTGCGCCTGGGGACAGAGGAAGGGGTGGCACCGAGGGGTTCTGCTCTGCCCCACGTCCTATCTATAGGCTGCAGGCTCGCTCCAGCCTATTTCTGGCAAACTCATCCCCGGCTCCATTAAGATCCACTGAGGAATAATTAATTATCGGGCTGTAGAGGCAGCTCTGGGAGCTGCTCCAGATGCAGGGCGGGTGCCCACCTGCAACCTCCCCTTCCCCCCCAGCTCCTCGCCCTCACCTGTGCAATGGCCCCAGCGAACACCAGGCTCCAGTCGGGCAGCCAGGAGCAACCCGGGCGCAGCAGAGCGTAGATGCAGAGGCAGAGGAAGGGGAGGACGTAGAACAGGTAGATCAGCATCTGTGAGCAGAGGGACGGAGCAGTCGTCGTGTCCTGGGTGGCACAGGGGTCCTCACCGCCCGCACTCACCTGCACTTTGGGGTAGGCGACGGGGTCACGCAGGTAGGGCTCGTGCTGGTAGATGTACTCAAAGCAGGAGTCAGCAGGGCAATCCAGCACCACCTGCACAGATCCAAGGGCGGCAAGGAGCCCACCCCAGTGCAAAGTGTGCCCCCCGCCAACCCCTCCCCACGGCGCATCTGGCCCCCCCGGCGCTCACCATCCCCCTGAAGAAGGTGAAGGAAGCCATCAGAAGCAGGACCAGCACCAGCACCAGGTCGTGGGGCCGTTGGTGCAGCCACCTGCGCTGCTCCCGTTCAGTCTGGGGGGGAGATAAGGGTTGTTGATGCCCTGTGGTGCTGGGCTGTGCCCCATGGTGATGCCCCATGGTCGGTGCTGCCCAGCCCCTGCCCCATTGGTGCCCACCTGCTCCGCTGTGAGGCACGGCACAGCCCTGGGCTGCTGGAAGAGCCGCCTGCCCGCCCAGATGGGGATGAGGACGTAGGGCAGATTGAGCAGGAAGGCAGCATTGATGTCGGAGCTGTATTTGCCTGAGGAGGAGGATGTGGGGTGGGTGGGGGCAGCACATTGCCCAGCACTCATCTCTGGGGCAACAGCATGGGGTGCTGTTGGTGCTGGCATCCCCCCCACAGCCCCATTACCTATCAGGTTCCCAAGCAGGAAGACGAGGATGCTCATCACCAGAGAGCCCAGCCAGAAGAGACCCAGGCTCCTATAGCTCTTCCTGCAGAGTCAGTGCAGTCAGAGCCCAGCACACAGCCCCCCCGTCACCCCCCCCCTCCACCCTCAGCCCCCCGGCCCCACTCACCGCTGGCTCATGGCTGTGATCATGGCAAGGTACAGCCCGTAGTGCACGATGCCATCCCAGTAACAGATCATGATGCCGTGTGCTGTGCGCAGGTACAGCTCACCCTGAGCAGATGGCAGACATCACAAGGTGGGGGTGAGCACCTTCCCCATCCCCAAACCCCCTCAGGGTGAGTCGGGTGCTGCTTTTGGCCACTCCAATGATTGCAATGGGGCTGTACCTCTCTCACGTAGACCTCTGCAAAACCCGAAATGAAGCCATCCTCCTCCAGTGAGATGATCAGATCGATGGCAGAGACAAAGGAGAACACCACGAACACTGCACGAAGCAGCAGGGAGGGCTCAGCGTGTGACCCCACTGCCCAACGGGGGGACTGGGGGTGCTGGGAGCCCCGGCACTCACCGCAGAACAGGGGGTCCTGGAAGTAGCTCCCAGCACTGGCAAAGTAGACGAAGGCGAGCAGCACAGCAAGGAGCAGCACGGCCACCAGCAGCAGTGTGTTGCTGTAGGACAGGAAGGGGGGTCAGGCAGGGGGGGCCCGTATCCCCCGTGTGCCTCATTTCCCCCATCCAGCTTGCTGATTACAAAATGAACAGGCAATGAGAAGACAAACACTGCAGATTTGTCTGAGGAGTGCAAAGATATTATAGGCAAACCCGTCCTGAGCTCACTGCTACCCTCCCGGAGGAATTGCATTAGCGGGGGTCTGCTCCAGCCAATTCTTCTGCCTCTCGTGTCTTCTGAACACGTTACGGCATTTTTCACCCCAGCTTTTAACCGCAGCACCAAAGAAATGGAACAGGGGAAGCGCCGCTCGCCGAGCACAAAGGCATCGCTGCGTGCCAACAGCTCACCCTGTAGGAAACTCCCATCGCAACCCCAAAGACCCCCGACTCGTTTGCTTTGTGCCGGGGAGGGGGGCAGGGATGGGATGGGGAGGGGTGGGTGATGGGGTGGGCATCGCAGCGGCTCTGAGTGGGGCTGGGGTTGTCTTCACCCCCCCCTGCCCCCACCTGCACACTCTGAGCATCCAAAACCGACCGATACTCATTAAAAAAAAAAAAAAAAAATCAACACCAAAACAATCAAATGATTTAACTGTCAACGCATAAGTGCATTATTAGTAGTGTATAATTAATTACTACATGACTAATTACTCCCCTGGAATGATTAATTCAGAATTCAAATACAAGAGCGGTGCTGGAGCAGCACGAAGGAGGGTTCCTCCGGTCACCGTCAGACGTCACCCTGTGTGATGGGGCGGGGGGGGACATACGGGGCTGCGTCCCCACGGGGCAGCATCTGCGGGTCCGCTGCCGGGCACAGGGGGTGAGGATGGGGCCGTTGTGGGGCAGAGGCACCGACCCCGCCTTGATGGCCATGGGAGGGGATTGGGGAGCTGTGGGGCCGGGGCTCAGTCCCGGGGGGGGGGGGAAACGGAGGTGAGCGGAGGGGTCGCGCGGCGCAGGCAGCAGCGCTGGAGGGGCTGGGCGTTATGAGGGGGAAGCTCTGAGCGCCCCGACCCCATCGGAGGGCCTGGGTGACCCCAAGTCTGCGTTGTGCCACGAACCCGAACCGCCCCGCATCCGCCGATACCGCAAACGCAGCCGCGGGATGAGAGCCCAGCGGGACGTTCTGCGGGCTCGGCCGGGGCGCAGCGAACATCCCGCACCCGAACCGCAGCCCGACCCTCGGTCCGGGCAGCTCCGAACCCCCTCGGCATCGCCCCGGAGCCCAAAACCGCCCCGCGTCCGCAGCGTTGTCCAAACCCCGACGTCTCCCCGCGCCGCCCGTTGCTCCATCCCGGCCCGGAGCGGTGCGGCCCCGCACCGAACTCACTCCGCCAACGCCGCAGCGCCGCTCAGGCCGAGAGCAG